GTATGTGTGTGTGTGTTGTGTGTGTTCTTCATGTTCCAGACTAAATTCATAAAGAATCTGATGAGTCAAACTTTTATTTATTGTCTTTGTTTCCTGGAAATAGACTCAGCTCGGTGTCACCACCTGCTGGTCACACGCTGTAACTACAGCCGCTGACACTGAAGCTTCTCTTTGCTTCTTTATGAAATAAAATAAAGGATGAAACAATCCTCTGATGTTTTCAGTTGATCAATCGAACCACAGACTAAGATCCAGTTCACACCTGACGTGACCAACATCTGTCTTCCAGCCAAACCCTACGTCAGGCTTCACTCTGTGGCGCCCCCAGCTGGCAAACATGCCATGTTGGTCTGCAGCGTCTTTGACTTCTACCCCAAACGGATCAAAGTGAGCTGGCAAAGAGACGGACAGGAAGTCACCTCTGATGTCACTTCCACTGATGAGCTGGCAGACGGTGATTGGTACTACCAGATCCACTCCCACCTGGAGTACATGCCCAAGTGAGTCCAGGCTCAGGTCCAGTTGGGTCCAGTTGGGTCCAGTTGAGTCCAGTTGATTCCAGTTGGGTCCAGTTGAGTTCAAATCGGTCTGATAAGTCCAGTTGAGTTTAAATGGATCCAGTTGAGTCCAGTTCAGTTCAAATGGATCCAGTTGGGTCCAAGTGGGTCCAGTTGAGTTCAGTTGGGTCCAGTTGAGTCCATTTAAATCCAGTTAAGTCCAGTTGGGTTCAAATGGTTTGAGTTGGGACCAGTTAAGTTCAAATAGGTCTGATAAGTGCAGTTGGGTCCAGTTGAGTTCAAATGGATCCAGTTGAGTCCAGTTAAGTCCAGTTGGGTCCAGTTAAGTCCAAGTGGGTCCAGTTGAGTCCAGTTGAGTCCAGTTAAGTCCAATTGGGTACAGTTGGGTCCAATTGACTTCAAATGGTTCCAGTTGAGTCCAGTTAAGTCCAGTTGGGTTCAAATGGTTCGAGTTGGTCCAGTTGAGTCCAGTTAAGTCCAGTTAGATCCAGTTGAGTTCAAATGGTTCGAGTTGGGTCCAGTTAAGTCCAAGTGGGTCCAGTTGAGTCCAGTTGAGTCCAGTTAAGTCCAATTGGGTACAGTTGGGTCCAGTTGGGTCCAGTTGACTTCAAATGGTTCCAGTTGAGTCCAGTTGGGTTCAAATGGTTCGAGTTGGTCCAGTTGGTCCAGTTAAGTCCAGTTAGATCCAGTTGAGTCCAAATGAGGTTGAGTTGGGTTGAGTTAAGTCCAGTTAAGTCCAGTTGGGTCCAGTTTGGGTTAGAGCAACAGAAACTGATGTGTTGTTTGTGTTGAATCAGGTCTGGAGAGAAGATTTCCTGTGTGGTGGAACATGCCAGCCTGAGTAAACCTCTGATCACTGACTGGGGTAAATACCTGTCTGTCACTTGTCTGTCTTCCCCCTCGTCTGTGTGCTCACCTGCTCAGCTGTCTTTCTCCCTTTCTGTGCTCAGATCCATCCATGCCTGAGTCAGAAAGAAACAAGATCGCTATTGGGACCTCAGGACTGATCCTGGGTCTGACCTTATCTCTGGCTGGATTCATCTACTACAAGAGGAAGGCCCAAGGTCAGAGCCAGAAACCCATTTCACACCAGTTTATACAGACCAAATCCAGTTTAGACCAGTTTTAATGGTGTGTATTTGTTTTGACCCTTGTCTCTTCTCTTTAAACCAGGACGGATCCTGGTTCCCACTAACTGAGTCTTGTCCTGGACCTGGACTTGGTCCTGGATCTATTTCTGTTTTCCTGATGGAAGTAAAATTAGCTGCTGCTTCAACCTGCTTTCTGTTTTCAGTCCAGCAGACTCAGCGCTGCCACCTGCTGGACTTGCTGAACACCAAATTCTCTGATGGTCTGTGCTGGTCTGAACCTGATCTAGAACCAGTCCTGTTCTCACTGTGGATCCAGACTCTGGTACATCTGCTGGATCACAAACACCTGATTTGTTGCTTCACGGTGTGAAATCTATATTTTTTTCTCATCCTCCTGTTGTTAAACAGTTTTAAATCCTCTTTGATTCAGATCTCAGGTGTCTATACTTTTACTGTTTTCTAATCACAATAAACTTTGAAACTAAGAAACACGAAGTCTTTACTTGTCATCGTTTTTTTAACTCGTCACTGAGCAACACTGAGAATCAGACTCCGGCAGGAAGTAGATCTTTGTTAATGACTGGACGTTAGCTTAGCTTTGTGTCTTTAGCTTTGTCAATGACTGGACGTTAGCTTAGCTTTGTGTCTTTAGCTTTGTCAATGAGTGGATGTTAGCTTAGCTCAGGGGTCTCCAACGCGTTGCTTGCGAGCTGCCAGTAGCTCGCCTTCCCTTTCCAAGTAGCTCGCCAAAGGGCCAATGAATCATACATAAATTTGAAAACTTAATTGGTCCCTCGACACATCTACTTAAACTTATGTCCAATCAAAATTCACAGTTGTCCCTCCCCCTTCAAACACAAAATGATTATTTGCCAATTAGCTGTCAATCAAAACGTTGCGGTGCTATCAATCTTGATGAGTCAGTGGTGATGTGAGTTGAGCAGGAGTTTAAAATGGCGACAAGTGTCCAAACCAACAAGCGGATTAAAACGTACCATTTTCACCAAGAGTGGGAGACAATTTTGTTTTACTAGTGTTAACGACAAGTGTGTGTGTTGTGATCTGTGGTGCCAGTGTGTCGGTCGGTTAAAGTTGTAATGTGGAGCGCCATTTCACCAAAGTCCACAGCAAGTTTTCGCTGGACTTTCCTGCGGGTAGCAGTCTACGAAAAGACAAGATAACGGAGCTAAAGACAATGCTTCAACGGCAACAGTCTCTGTTTACCAAACTGGCGAAGAAGGCCAATTCAGCAACAGAGGCTTCGTTTAAAGTGGCGCACATTTTAATAAAGCGGAAAAAGCCATTCACCGATGGTGTGATCGTAAAGGAGGCCATGACCCTGGTGGCTGAAACGTTATTCAGGGACCATAAAAATAAGGGGGACATTTTGTCTGCTATTGCCGATGTACAGCTTGGTGCCAATACCATGGCAAAGAGAGTGTCTGCGCTGTCTGCGGATGCAGTAAAACAGCTGGAATCTGACATGAACAGGTGCAAATGGTTTTCTATTCAGTGCGATGAGTCTGTGGACCGTAGAGATACAGCCCAGCTGGCTGTTTTCATTCAGATGGTGTTTGACAACTTTTCCACCAAAGAGGAGTTTGTGACCTTACTCCCGTTGAAAACTACAATCAGGGGAATTGATATTTATAATGCAGGATTACTTTGTGGGAAAAAAGATCCCTATTGAAAAGCTGGTGTCTGTAACAACTGACGGAGCACCTGCAATGACAGGTCGTCACTCCGGATTTATTTCGCACTGCAAAGCGGACCTGGACTTTCCAAAGTTTATGAACTATCATTGCATCATACACCAACAGGCTATATGCGCAAAAGTTATGGGATTTGACCATTTCATGACGCCTGTTATCAGGATCATCAATTCCATTCGAGCAAAGGCAAAGCAACACCGGAGCTTCAAGCTGTTCCTGGAGGAATGCTCTGCGGAGTATGGGGATCTCCTCCTCCACACCGAGGTCAGATGGCTAAGTTGGGTGAAGATACTACAGCGCTTTCTTTCCTTGCTGGGTGAAATCAAGGCATTCATGGAAACTTGGGAGGAAGACACCACCCTATTATCTGATGCAGAGTGGCTACTTGATCTTGCTTTCCTGACCAATGTAACTGAGAAAATCAACCACCTGAACCTACAGCTACAAGGCAAAGGTAAAAATATATGTGACATGATCAGTGCTGTTAAGGCGTTCAGTGCAAAACTGTCATTGTACATTCAGCAAGTGAAAAGCAAAAGATTTCAGCACTTGCCCTCTGTCTCAAAGATGCTGGACAGTCACACGGGTGCAGCCAGTGTTTTAAATGTGTCCAGGTATTGTGACCTCCTATCAAGGCTTGGACAGGAGTTTGCTGACAGAGTCAGTGACTTTGAGAAACTTGAGCCCTGTGTGACATTTATGGCCAACCCTTTCATGGATGTGGACATAAGTGAGATTTCAGGACAGATGGCTGAACTTGTCTGTGTTGATCCTGTGGAAATGGAAATGGAGGTTATAAACCTTCAAAATAATGTGCATTTGAAGTCTCAGCAGCATTCACAGCATTTCTGGAGCTTGGTAGAGCCAGACAACTATGAACATCTTCACCAAGCAGCTCTGAAAATGCCTGCTTTGTTTGGGTCTACATACCTCTGAGAGTCAGCTTTTTCTGACATGAATGTCCTGAAATCAAAGCTCAGAACGAGACTGACAGATGAACATTTAAATGACTCCATAAGAGTGAACTTTAGTGGATACACTCCAGCATACACCTCTCTTGTTGACTCCTTACAGTGTCAGTCATCTCACCAGCTAAGAAAGACTGAACTTCTGAACACACTCACTCACTCACACACACACA